ATTTGCTTGTCCTTCTGACAGTCCGCGGTATATTAAATATTCAGATGCAACCTTTGAATATTCTTCATTGGTATTCTTACTCACTGTCCAGTTTTTACATGATTTTAGAGTAACTGAAAATACCGTGATTTGGACCAGGTGCACCTTCGTTTGCTAAGTCGTTAGGTTCTTAGGTGTCGTCGAGTCAGCTCTAATTTAGACAACAAACAGAACGGTCACGCTCCGTCCTCACAGCCCGTCACAGCCCATCATCATCATCGCCAGTCACATGTCGTCATTACAGACTCCACTGGGCTTAAGCCATTGTTACTGCGTCAGTCCATATCACTGGGGATATTTTTCTCCTTTGCTGACCCTCCGTTTTTTCAAATACGATGTCCTTTTCCAAGGACTGGCCCTTCCTACCAACATGCCCAAAGTATGTGAGAAGTTTCGTTATCTTCGTCTCTAAAAATCACTCTGCTGACACTTTTTTCCAAGACATATTTGTTCTGTCTCCTGGAAGCCCTGAGGAATGGTAAAGCCTGATGTCCTTGTTAGACCGACACACACCCCTTTTGTAGAGTCTCACTCACACCAAGGCTTGAAGAAACCTGTTTGCATAAGCAGCGAGCTGGCCAATATATTTGGTTATCACAAGAGTCCAGAATTAAGGCTGCATAGTGGAGTGTACTGGGGCGGTGGGAGAGGTGTGGGAGGCACTGTATACAAAAGAAGGAAGTTTTCTTTTGCTTTTCAAAGACAGGAGCCAACTCGGTGAGGTGGAGGGGGGGGAGAGGGCTGAGCCGGGAGGAAAGTGCAACAATGAATGAAAATCCAAAATCTCTGTAAATTTTCACTAAAATTAATAATTGTTTTGAACACAACATCTATTTGTATAGTGGCATCCCATCCCTGAGTGGAGTCATAGAGAGTCTGGCTTTATGAATGAATTCACTGGATCACAAACCCCTGACCCTTTCAACTGCTTACTTTTTAATTCTTTTTTTTTAATTGTTTTCTTTTAGCCAATTTTTCTTTTATTTTAATGAAAGCTTACAGAGACTTAGGGTTTCCATTCATTTATTGTTGCCCTTTTCTCTCTGCCCACACCTCCCCCCACTTTGCTCTGCTCTTTGAAAAGTAAAAGAAAAATTCTTTCATTGTTATGCAATCCCTCCCCCCAAGTCCACTCCATTGTGCAGCCTTCATTCTGGACTCCTGTCATGACAATAATACCTAATCATATATCCTTTTAAACAGTTCCATCCTCCATCTGTTTCAGTGCAGTATACATTATTTATCCTCTCTTTTTCAGTCTCCCCCCTAACCATGAAGTCAGTCCTGTTTTACAAGAGTGGCCCTATGCAGTATTTGTCCTTTTGTGACTGAGATATTTCACTCAGCATAATGTCCTCCAAGGTCATTCCTTTTGTATATTTCATGAGTTCCTTGTTTTTCAGTGCAGCCTAGTATTCCATTGTGTGACTATACCAAAGCTTCTCTATCCATTTGTTTGTTGATAGGCACTTGGGTTGTTTACAGCTCTTTGCTTTTGTAAGCAAAGCCGCAATAAACATGGGTGTGCATATATCTGCTTGGGTGGCAGCTCTAGTTTCTTTAGGGTATATTCCCAGTAGTGGAATTGCTGGGTCAAATGGTATTTCTATGTGCAACTTTTTGAGAAAGCACCATACAGCCTTCCAGAGTGGTTGCACTATTTTACACTCCTACCAACAGTGAAGAAGGGTTCCAGTTTCTCCACAACCTCGCCAGCATTTATTGTTTGCTGTTCTGTTAAGAGGGACACTATTATACTCCATAAATTTAGGACCAGTGACCCCTGAGACATGACATCCTTACTGGGATTTCAGATGAGGAGTGACTTAAAGGGTGTGGACAAAAGCGATGGGCTGGTTTGCAAACCCTTCTCTTGTCCTTAATCACCAAGAATCCAAACCATTAGGGGCTAGTTGGTGAGCTCCATGAGAGGGTCCCAGGAGCCGCTCCTGGTAGAAGATCCTGTCACGAGGGTAACGGAATATTATCAGATTGTTCACATTGATATAACATCTTGTGTTCAGCAGCAGAAACGTGTATCTTCATTGTCTTCTGGGGCCCTTGAGTTAACAGTGGGTATATGCAAGTTGGAAAATGATACCCAGCGATGTATCAATCAGCGAAGGAGGGCTTCAGGAACTCGCCTAGCCCGTTGCTGCGAGGGGTGGGACTCGTGTCTCCCAGCTGGCTTCAGCACCCAGTTCATGCATTCAACGAGACCAGTCGGATTAGAGGGGAGATGGAAAATTCCAGACAAGCCCCATCCACTCAGGCCACTCCTGAATTTCATGATTGGTAAGATGAGTTCCTCGGTCACTGTCAGGATCTGGGGGCATGCCCCATGTGGCACAGGGAAGCGGGAGACCCCGGATTGTTGATCTCTGAGTGGCACACTTGCAGGTGTCCAGTAGCAGTGTCTGCACAGGTAATGGCATACCTGCAGTGGTCAGCCACAGGGAAAGGCCTTACATAGTCCATTGGCACCTTTGTACCAAGACTTCTACCCTTGCTATGCACCACACAGAAGGAGAGATGAGGGTACAGCTCTCCACAGAACATTCATATCAGGCCTTGATAATCAGTTTAATGGATAGTTGTTGTTGTTGTTAGTTAGGTGCCATCGAGTTGCCTGCAACTCATAGTGATCCGTCGTGCAACAGCCCTAAACCCTGCTCTGTTCTGTGCCAACCTCACTGTCTCCAACACACCTACTCCCCATACTCCATCATTGAATCAATCCACCTCTTAGAGGGTCTTCCTCTCCTGCACTGTCCCTCCACCCTCCCAAGTATGACATCCCTCTCCAAGGACTGGTCCCTCCTTACAACATGTCCAAAGTATGTCAGAGGACGCTTCAGAATCCTTGCTTCCAAGGAGCAGCCTGGTTTAACCCTCTCCAGGATGAACCTGTTAGTTTTCTTAACAGTCCATGGTATATTCAATACTCTTCTCCAATACCACAGCTCAAAGGCATGAGCTCTCTCCATCTGTCCTCCCTAGTCATTGTCCAGCTCTCTGATGCATAGTAAGCGATTGTAAAGACCATGGCCTGAATCAGGCACATCTTATTTTCCAGAGTGACACCATTGCTCTTCAGTACTTTGGGGAGGTTCCTAACAGCAGACTTTCCCATCACAATATGTCTTTTAACTTTCTGGCTGCTGGTGCCAAGAGTGTTGCCTGTGGAGCCAAGTAAACTAAAGCTGTGAACAATCTCAATCTCTTCACCATCCATCCTGATGCTGCCAATAGGCCCAGTGATGAGAATCTTTGTCTTCTTGATGTTGAACCTCAATCTATATTGGAGGCTGCAGTCCTTGACCTTCTGCAGCAAGTGCTTCAGGCCTTCCTCAGTTTCAGCAAATAGGGTTGTGTCGTCTGCATAACGCAGATTGTTGATGAGTCTTCCACCAATCATGATGTGACACTTCTCCTCATACAGCCCAGCCTCCCAGATAATCTGTTCTGCACATAGGCTGAGGAGGTATGGAGATAGGACACATCCCTGGCACACACCCTTCCCAATTCTTCTGTCCAATCCTCATACTCCACATCTACAAATCCCCCCCCATTCTGTCTTCCTGTTTACTCATCTGCATATAAGCACACTGTAACCCCCAATAAAGTTGAGTTGGCTCTCTGACGTGCTCCTGGAGTGGTATGTCTCCATCGTGCTTACCCACATCAGGGTGTCGCTGCTCCCTGCCGGCAAAAGGAAAGTAACACTGATGCCTTTAGGTTGTGGTGCTGGAGCAGAGTATTGAATATCCCATGTCCTGCCCTAAGAACAAATAAGTCTGTCCTGAAAGAGGTGGAACCAGGATACTTTTTAAAGGTTAGCATGGTAAAATTTTATCTCACATACTTTGGACATGTAAGGAGGAGTCAGTCTTGGGAGAGGAACAATAGGCTTGTAATAATGGAGGATCAGTGCGAGAGACAAAGACTTTTAATGAGATGTATTGACGCAGTGACTGTAACAGTGAGTTTCAGTGTATCAGAGAGGGTGAGGATGGCACAGTATAAGGCAAGGTTCTGATGAGTTGTTATGAGTTGTAGCTGATTCAACAACATACTACAATGACAACAAAGTATATGTCAGGGAGTCCTGCCAACCCAAAGGCAGATGACTCAAACCCAGCAGCTGCTCTGAAGGAGAAAGATGGTCAATTTCCTCTAATCTGATTTATAGCCTCTGAAAACTTGCTGGAGGGCCATCTCTGAATTGGTTCTGACTCAACTGCCTGAACATATACCGCCAACAAGCATAAAATACTCTCAACAACAATATACAGTCAACTTTATTGGATCATCAAGTTCCATGTTTCAGAAGTTACATAATGATGCCATCTGGCAGTTATCTAATGATGCAGCCATTCCTCAGACTTATCGATGTGATCAGGCAATTAGTTGTAAGGAGATATGCACTCCAATCCCAAAGGCACGCGGTTCAAATCCACCAGCCGCTCTGCAGTAGCAGGATGGGAACTCTCCTACAGAATTAACTGCTTCTGAAAACCCGCTGAAGGGTCAGCTATGAGTAAGTTCTAATTTGACGGTATACAAGAGCAACAACCCTCCAGGCACATGCTTGCGCAAGGCATTTTTTTCAGGCTAAGTGAACATTCTTCGCAGATAACCTAAGCATACAATTTCTCTCTCTAACCCAGAATTTCAGCACTAGCTCTCTCTTTGTGTTAGAAGCACTTAAAGTTTGACTAAAAGAATGAATTACTTATTTAGAACAACAAAAATAAAGATTTCTGTTTATTTTAGAATATATTTTTAACTAAGGCCTGAAGTAATTTATTACAGCTACATCAAAACCTCATATGCTTTAAGATCCACATCTGCAATTCCATGATTCAAGTTAGACTTCATAGGAACAACCCCATACAGAAGTACATAAAAAAGAAAAAAGCCCACACTGTAATCATGTCCAATTTGGAAATAGTAGGCCATTATTCCCATGGGAGAAGTGCTTGCGGAAGCCCTGCCATCTTCTCCCGGAATATTTTGTCAAAGGCTTCACTCTGGGCCACTGTGAAGTAATTTTTCCAGTCTCCAGCGATCCCTGTGAAATATCAGGAAGTAAGTCCAGGTCAGATTTATATCGAGACTCTTAAGATTGCATTTGAACTTCTCCAAGATCAGAGTGTAGACATGACGGGCAACACACACACACACCCCCAACAACAACAGCAACAACAAAAAAGTAGCTCAAAGTGTTTTAGGAGACTTGGCAGTGAGCTCTCTAATGCTGTTAAGCAGATCAGCACTTTGAAAGCATCAACTGCTCCCCAAGAGAAAGCTTGCCCTCTCCTCTTGGAATGATTTACATCCCAAAAAATTCAACGGGGTTTGCAGTGACACATTTAGCAAGTCTTTCATGTCAGACACCTTAAAAGGTATTTTAAATACATACGTCATCTAACATGCCCTACTTTTTAAGATGAGCACTGTTTTGTTATATTTTCCATTCCGCAACACACTTACTCCCAGACTGGTCATACAGATTCAAATGGTCCTCTTCCTTTTCACTGTTGCTTCTCTGACATCCCGTCCAGTCCCTTTCCACTATATCCTGTTGAATCTCATAACGCCCACCTTCCAGGGTATCTTGTCACTTTTTATTTCAATAACTTAGATCAACTCCTTGTTAAGTGAAGGTTTTAGTTCATAGTTTACCACAACTCTACCTAATGACTACAATAAAAATTCTTGGTGGCCTCAATTTCCGCAATATTATTCTTTTCCCAGTCTAGCCTTTGCTCTTTGATCATTTCTCTTACAACAATCAAATTTACCCTCCTCCAGTAAAAGTCACATGTTGTATCTTAACATTATTAATTCTTCTCCCATGGCGTCACTTCAGTAAAAGCCCTTCTCTGACTATCCCTTCCTGCACTTTTCGGGTTTTCACATGAGCACGTCAGTTTGCTCAACACGTGAATTCCACTGAAGCTCCTAAACTATTGACTCCACTATCGTGTCACTATCCTGCTCTCTCCTCTTGAATTAATTCATTATCTAAATTAAATTATAAGATTGATTATTCTAGTTACTCTCTTAACTTTCCAGCTTCCTTATCCCTTATCATTATGTAGACTTTATATCATATTCTCTGATTTCAAAGTATGCCCAACTTGAATGATGACAGAACATAATACAGACAAAGCTACTCATTAATTACTCTTCAAAATTCTAAAACCCTATGCTCCGTAAGGTGCACTAAAAGTATACTCTCTTCTCTGGCTTTACCTCACACAACCTTTTCTATTACATTGCTCAGCTGATAATATAGACTCAATCTTATTGGTATAGTGAAGTTATTCTTAGAGTATCTTTCACAATTTCCTAGCACTGTACCCACCACTTTATAAAGATTCAAATACTGTCCTTGATACATGTCTTGGTGGTATCAATGGAAGTCGGTGAACTGTTTGTTCATTTTCTCTAAGTTCTGATATCAGAAAAATATTAATTTACCTTTTCTCATCAACTTCCCTTTGCTGTGGTCTATGACATCATCTGATATTAGGGAGAAATTGCTCATTTTATTGTCTTTCATGGACTCAAAGGACACGTGCTTGATCACTGAGTTGAGTTCTTCTGGAGTTAGCTCCTTGCCCAAGAAACGGCTGATCTTTTCTACCCCAGACTTGATGTCCTAGAGTAGGTAAGAAAAAGAAGAATATGTGATCCAAAGCACAAGAGTGAAAAAGGAGATGCAGAAAATTATGACATGAAGAAGAAATTCAACAAAGCAGAAAGAGGATAAATGGTGTAGGCTTCTCTGGAAGGTGATAAACATTGGCTAAAATACATAGGACAGACGAGAAATGGAAGGTTAGCTGTAAACAAGGAAGAGAAAGGAAAGAGATGACAATATAATACTGATTGTTGTTGTTGTTATGTGCCGTCGAGTCGTTTGCGACTCATAGCGAGCGACCCCATGTACAACAGCCCTAAACCATGCTCTATCCTGTGCCAATCTCATTGCCCCTGACACACCCATCCCGAGTACCCCAGTCACTGAATCAATCCACCTCATAGAGGGTCTTCCCCTCCTGCGCTGTCCCTCTACTCTACCCAGCATGATGTCCCTCTCTAAAGACCTGTCTCTCCTTACAACATGTCCAATGTATGTCAGACAAAGCCCCAGAATCCTTGCCTCCAAGGAGCAGCCTGGTTTAATCCTCTCTACGATGAATCGATTTGTTTTCTTGGCAGTCCATGGTACATTCAATACTCTTCTCCAGCACCACAGCTCAAAGGCGTCAATTCTCCTTCTATCCTCCCTAGTCATTGTACAACTCTCTGATGCATAACAAGTGATTGCAAAAACCATGGTCTGTATCAGGCGGACCTTAGTCTCCAGAGAGACACTGTTGCTCTTGAGTATTTTGGAGAGGTCCCTAACAGCAGACTTTCCCATCGCAATACGTTTTTTGATTTCCTGGCTACTGGTGCCAAGAGTGTTGACCGTGGAGCCAAGCAAACTGAAGCTGAATACTGATAGCATGATCAATATTGAGCTCCTTTGCACTGAAGATTAGTGAGTCTAGAAATAAGAGAGAATGGTCTAGAATTTTCAAGCACATTTCCCTCTACAAATTTCATACACTTAGGATTGTTATAACAAACTCAACTTATTACTGTCAAGTCAGAAGCAACCCCTAGATCGTCCTCCATTGAGTTTCTGAGAAGTAAATCACACAAGAGATGTCTTTCTCCTGCAGAATTACTGGCGGATTAAAAATACCAGAGAAGTGCAGCCCAACACGACCGTACCCTGTGTCACCAGAGCTCCCTCAAGGTTGTTAGAGATAATAGACACATAGGAAATAGACACCATGTAGATGGGAACTCAATTTTCTGTGTAATGTGATTGTTGCTGTTTTTAGGTCTTGCTGTCGGTAAATGCTATTGAGTTGACTATGATACATGGTAACATTATGAACAACGGACAGAACCCTCACAACTAATTACCAAACTCTGTATAGTAATAGACGAGGGTTGTAGATTTGAGAAACGCCTGATCTCAGCGATTAGATCGTTGAGACCTGGAAGGAGAGAGAGCAGTATCTTTAGTTTAACATACTGACTACCTTAAGCAACTCTTCGTAGTAAATGATCAGTAAATTCTCTCTTTCTCTCATTGACATCCAGCCGCAGGCATGGTCAAACCACGATCCGTATGGTACTGAAAGACAAGGAGAGGTAAAATAGTCATTGTAGGGGCCAATGTCTGTATAGTCTGGGCTGTTTTGTGGAAACACTTGCATCAGGCAGTATTTCATTATGTTATATATAGGGTCACTGGCAAGTGGAAATAAGTGATGGGACCTGTCAACTTGGTGGGACACAACCACAACAACAACCACCACCAGAATTTTGTAAAGCACGTGGTATTAATATCATCTAGTTGGCTTGCCGGATGTCCGTCTTCCAAATTCCTTAGCATTGATGAGCTTGCACCTCCATAAGCCGGATCTTTTTATTAATACACCTCGATTGGTATTGTATCGAATTCTAAAATCATATTTTTCACCAGTGCCTTGGGGAGAGTTTGCAGTTATTCCTACAATACGCTGACTTGTGATAAGACACACAAGGAGATGGTCCATCCTTCTCCCATGGAGCGGCTGGCGGATTCGATTCATGTGTGTTTGGGATTAGAGAGCAGCTTCTTACCACTAGGCCACTAGAACTCTTCATCATTTGGGCTCTGATGATGTAAATCTTAATGGGAAGAGCTTGACCATCTTTCTTGCCCTGAGTCACTAGTGGACTCTATTCACCTGAGATTCTTGGCCTTTTGGTCAGCAGGGCAACATTCTATGGACTAAGCCACTACATCTCCTAACACAGAATAATTATTTGTCTCAGCGTAGATCATTCGGGAAGCAGGGCTTTATGAGGAGGACTGTGGCATCAGGATTGGAGGAAGACTCATTAACAACCTACTATATGCAGATGACAGGACCTTGCTTGCTGAAACTGAGGAGGACCTGAAGCACTTGCTGCAGAAGGTCAAGGACTGTTGTCTTCGATATGGATTGAAGCTCAACATCAAGAAGACAACGATTCTCACCACTGGGCCAACTGGCAGCACCATATTAGATAGAGAAGAGATTGAGGTTGTTAACAAGTACACCTTGCTCGGCTCCACAATCAACACTCTTAACACCAGCAGTCAGGAAATTACCAGCAGACAGGAAATTAAAAGACAAATTGCATCGGGAAAATCTGCTGTCATGGAGCTCTCCAGAGTGCTGAAGAGCAACAATGTCAGTCTAGATACAAAGGTGTGCCTAATCCGGGCCAATGACTAAGAATCAAAGAAGAAGAACAGATGCCTTCAAACTGTGGTGCTGGAGAAGAGTCTTGAACATACCATGGACTGACAAGAAAACAAATAGGTCCGTCTTGGAGAGGATGAAATAAGTCTTTCCTTGGAGGCTAGGATTTGTAAGCCCTGCCTCACTTACTTTGGGCACGTAGTCGAGAGAGATCAGTCCTTGGAGAAGGGCATCATGCTCAGAAGGGTGGACAGACAGCGCAGGAGAGGGAGACCCCAGATGAGATGTATTGATACAGTTAAATGGGGTGATGGGGGTTGGTGTGTCAGAGTTAGACTGGCTCAGGACAAGGAAGGGTTCAGAGCTGTTGTACATAGGGTTGTTATGCATTGCAAGCCACTCAATGGCACATAAAAACAATAACATACTATGACAGGTTTGTACACAGGACACTTTCTAAACCACATGCCTCTGGAAACTCTATAAACTGGTAAATGTCCATCGGTATAGAGGGGCTTCAGGTCTTTTGTTCATAGGGTCTCTCTGAGTCGTGCTCGACTTGAAGGCAATCAACAACAACATAATTAAACATGTATTTTCCATAATTTGACTGTGATGCAAATACATTTTGTGTTTTTTTTCTGATCATTTCAGTAACTGCTTCTATTTCCTTAGAAATAATACAGTGCAGATTAGAAAATTTGGAGGGTATATATGACATGAAACTTAATTAACTGAACTTAGTTAATTGAATTTTTTGGTGCAGCAGATGACACAGTTATTGCTTGTTCTCTCAATCATATCATTTATTAGTTGTAACTAAAACAAAAGTTATCATTTGAAAATGTTAAAAACATTAAGGATTACAAAACAGGGCAAAGTGAGTTTGAGCTGCGGGCATGTTGCTGTTGTTAGATGATGTGGACTCAGTCACCTGATGGACTCTGTCCTGTGTCAGCCTCATTAACCACGATATAGACTCAGTCAAGTCCATGGCTGCCGTCACTGTGACAATTCATCTTGTTGAAGATTTTCCTCTCTTTTCCTGACCCTCCACTTTCCCCAGCATGATAGAAGGAGAAAAATCCTACCACCATTTCAATATTTATAGAGAGTTATGCAAATCTTGTGACATCTTTTATTATGACTTACTTAACTATGTATTAGTTATTACTTATAAAAATAAACCTTTTCTACAGATAACTAGTAAAACAGGTATGAGGATCCAAGGGGGGAAGGAGTGGGAGTGGAGGGTTGAGGATGGGTAGGGGAGAAATCACAGGATTGCAGTTTGGTGGGTGGAGGGAGAGGGTGAAGGAAATGGGAAGGATTCGGTGGGGACCTGAAAAGACAGGGTAATGATGGGCAAGGTCCAATGGAGATTCAATTCATAAAACATAATGCACGAGAACGATTGTAGGAGACACAATGTGAATGAAGAACAGTGTGAAATGCCATGTATATGAACTTTGTAAGCAAATGAATATAAAATAAAATTAAAAACAAACAAAAATAAACCTCTTCTTTTTTTAACAGATTTGTATTCAAATGCATAGATATGAAAAATATAGTGAAACTGTGGTACCCCTTTTTCAAACTTCCCATTAGGATCATTGGTATTCTTGGGTATCAAAATTGTACTGAGAAAACTCCCACAAGAACCAACCCAGCAGACAAACCAGGAGGTTTTGTAGTTACATGGGAAATGGTGTGCGTTTAAATCAAATGCGGAAATGTTCATATTGTGATGTGAAGTTCAAGATCTCTGTCCCACCTCGATTCCCTCTCTTGTGTCACACTCACCACGTCCTTGGAGAAAATACTGCAAATACTGGTCAAATACCTCTGGAGTATCGGCTATTTTCAACGCTCCGAAGAAGTGATAACCAGAAACGACAATATCCCTGGGATTTCTGACAACATAAATGACCTGCACGGAAACAAACGAACAAACAAACAAAAGTAACGAAGATCAAAGCACCCAAGGAGAAGAAAGCCATCCCCTAGTTCTTGAGTTCACATCCATCTTCTCCCGTTCAGTAATTCATTCAATAATGTTTGTTTGGTTTGGAAAATAAAAATCAAGGATAGGTTTATCAAGAAAGGTATGTCCCAAAGGATGGGACAAGGTAAATGGACAAGGCCCACTCAACAGCATTTACCTTAAGCATCCATTGGGTGGGTTTAGACGGCCCAACGTGATGAACATGGTTGAAGCCATTGACTTGTGCATAGAAAAATGTTTTGTGATACCTGCTCTTACTTCACTAAAAATCAGCTTAAGTGAAATTACTCAGTGACTGGGGTCATGGGGGTAAGTACATCAGAGACAATGAGGTTGGCACAAGACAGAACAGGGTTCCGAGCTGCTGAGCAGGGGCTCGCTATGAGTCACAGGTGACTCGACAGTACTAACAACGAAACCGAGATAAATTCACCATCACTTCCTCAGAGGTTCACTATTTCAGACACTTTCTCTAGAGCGCCTGAAGTGACGTATTAGCAGCCTGAGCAGATGTTGACTAGGAGATAGTACATTTAGTTGAGATCCAAGAAGATCAACTTTGCTTCAAGTGTGAACATGAAATCGACAATCCGATGTTAAGATATTTGTCCAGAGTAGAGCGACATAAGCAATTAGTGAAGAACAAATTTCCATGAAGTAACATCGAGGAAATATTGAAATATCGCAGCACAGAATACTGTGATTTACAGCAAAGGTTTCTCTTTCATTAATCATGGTTTAAGGATATCTCCCAAATAAAGCATTGAAGACAGAACAGTTATCAGTTGTGATATTGCCATTATTAGCTCACCTTGGCCTTGGAATTGAAAAATGACTTGGGAAATAATTGAATCGGAAGGTGGGAAGCGTAGATTCGTGGACCTTCCTGCTTAGTTATACCTGGATACATTTCTGTAGTCTCTAACCATGGGGAACGATCATAGATAAAAACAGACTGGATCCAGCTGGGGTCTCCTTTAGAAGAAATGAGGCAAATCATTTCCACCATCCAATGTGATCCTGCACATAGAAGGAGAAAGATTTTTCTTACTGAAATTTGACTCCCAGCTATTCTAATACGACTAACTTCTTCTACATTCGTGAAGTACATTTTCCTTTCCATATGCCCACTCACCTGTCTCTGACTTACCTTGCCATAAAGGCTTGATCTCTGTACGTGTTGTTGGCCTAACAGTCGATATCTCACACTCTAACCAATCATCTATATTCAAAACTTATTTAAAAACTGTCTTGAGTACTACTTCCAATGTCCATGGAAATTAGTCAATTCTAAAACTTTCACAGACATTCACAAGTCCATCAGAATAGGAAGATCTACTATCCCTCAGGCTCCTGTTACTCTACTGGACATAAAGGCCACTCACTGGAAGGGCAGGAAGGGAAAAGGGATTATAATCTTAGGGACGCTGAGATGATTGTTAGTGAAGGACCCCCAAACCGCTGGTCCTGTTCTGTCCCGAGTGGACGGCGAAGACCCAAGACTCCAAGACACCGGCTTGATGCAACAGCAAGAGATAAGAGGTTTATTGCAGAGCTCCGGGCCGACCCTTATCT